GGAAGGCTGGCGGGGGGGGGGGGAGGAGAGAGGGGCAGCGGCAGAGGGAGGGCGGGTGGCCACGGGGGGGGGGAGCACAGAGCGGGGGGGGAGAGGAGGGCCCCAAAGAGAGAGGGCCCCATGCAGGGCCCCCCCATTGGAGCCAGCAGGTGCCCCAGAGGGCCGTGAGGGGCTCCTTTGGGGCCTCTGTCTTCGCCCCCCACCTCCTCCCCCCCCCTGCTCCTCCCCCTCCTCCTCCTCCTCCTCCTCCTCCTCCTCCTCCTCCCTCCTCCTCCTCCTCCTCCTCCTCCTCCTCCTCCTCCTCCTCCTCTTCCCCCTCCCCCTCCTCCTCCCCCTCCTGCCACCCGCCCGACGGAGAGGGGGGAAGGGGCAGAGGGGTGGGATGCTTCCCTGCCCGTGTGGTTCAAACTGGGCATGTCGCCGCGCCGGTTTGGGGAGGGTGCCGCGGGCACCTAGGGCAAGCGCCGCCTCGGGCGCGTTGGGCGGCTTGGCGTGGGTTTGCGGCGGTGCCGGCGCAGTCTGGTTTGATGAGCGTGTTTTCCACCACCACCACCATAAGTTGGGGGGGGGGGTCCTCCTCCTCCTCCTCCTCCTCCTCCTCCTCCTCCTCCTCCTCCTCCTCCTTCCTCCTCCCCCTTCGCCCCATCCAACTTATGGTGGTGGTGGTGGTGGAAAACGCGCTCATCATGGTTGGGCATGGGCCGCAGGGTTTGCCGTGGGTTTGCCGTGGTGCCAGCGTCATTCGTTCGGGCGCGTCGAGGACAAACGGTGCGGCGACACATGAACGTCCGCATGCGGGCTGGCGCCCAGTTGCCATCTTGCAGGCATGGTATCGGAGTGGGCTCGAGAATGACCCAGAGGACCGCCCAATTGTCTCGAGACCGGATGTCTGTCAGGGTTTCACTTTTGACTACAGCCGTTTATCCACCAACCCAGGCCTCCGACCTAACGAGTGTTTCGCAACGTGGGCACGGAGGTCTCGACCCCTTCCTTGGGGCTGATATTTCATCCCGAATTGTTTTTACAAGTCGGGGAACCTGCTTATGGCAAGAGACAGTAAACTAGTAATTGATTTGTGCCGTTTTTTCACGACGCAGAGGGTGTTTGGGCTTCGGGGGTCGAAGATCGACCCCGAGCCCAATCCTCGGGTGCGCTCTGGCTTAGAATTCGAAGGAGTCTAGCCGTGGCGGCAAAGGTTCTGGAAATCCTGATTAGAATTCATAACAACTGAATTATCCTGGCGAAGGGCCCAATCAAATGCAGTTGTGGGTACCGCAATTGTGAATATATTTTTTCGGTGAAGCTCCCTATGGGGCCACGAAGCGCTGCACAGGATGGGGGAACGCATGCGGGCGGTCCCACTGGGGCCGTCGGTGTAGCTCCCTATGGGGCCACGAAACGCTGCACTGGGTGGGTGGAAACGCCAAATCGGATGTGCGGGACGCATGCGGGCAGTTCCATTGGGGGCTTCGGTGGAGCTCCCTACCGGTGTGTGCGAAATAAACGACCGTGGCACGCGGAGCGCGCCAGACGGTTCACAGTTGCCTCCACATGACAACCAGATCATCGCACAGCCATCGCACGCACGACATCGTTCGGTTCACAGTTGCCTCCACATCACAACCAGATCATCGCACAGCAATCGCACGCACGACATCGTTCGATTCACATGCCAACATCATCGCATCACAGCCTTTGCACGCACATCTTGGCAAGGAAGATGGTTTGAAGTCTCCCTCACCGCGGCTGGCAAAACATATCACAGCCTCTGCACGCACGTCTTCGCCAGGGAGATGTTTTCATGTCTGCCTCACTGGGCCTGCCCGAATCATATCACAGCCTGTGCACGCAAGGTCTCGCAAAGAAGATGTGGTCGCTTCTTTGTCGCCGGGCCTATCCCTCCCCCCTTCCCTCGCCCGCCGCCCCACCCTCCCATCCTCCAGCCTCCAATTCAAAATCGTCCGCACTCGTCCGCAATCCTCCCGCCGGAGGCCTCCAGCACTAGTCCCCAGACGCCTCCGCTCGAATTTGATATCCTCCGCACTCGTCCGCACTCCTCCCGGAAGCCTCTGGGAGGCAGTCCAGAGGCCTCCGCTGGAATTTGACATCCTCCGCATTCGTCCGCACTCCGCCCGAAAGCCTCCGGAGGCACTCCCCAGAGGCCTCCGCTTGAATTTGAAATCCTCCGCATTCGTCCGCACTCCTCCTGGAGGCCTCTGGAGGTGCTCCCCAGAGGCCTCCGCTCGAATTTGAAATCCTCCGCAGTCGTCCGCACTCCGCCCGAAAGCCTCTGGAGATACTCCCCAGAGGCACTCCTTCGCACTCCATTTGAAAATCATCCTCGTTCCTTCTCCTCGTCGCCCCTCCTCCTCCTCCATCCTCCTCATTCCTCCTTTTCCTCCCTCCTCCCTCCCTTCCTCCTTCCTTCCCTTCCCCCCCTTCCCCTCCGAAGTGCAGAGTTGTTCCTCCTTTCTCCTCCTCCTCCTCCTTCTCCTCCTCCTCCTCCTCCTCCTCCTCTTCGTCCTCCTCCTCCTGATTCCTCATTCCTCATTCCTCATTCCTCATTCCTCCTCCTCCCCTTCACCCTCCTCTTCCTCCCCCCTCCTCCCCCACTGCCTCCCTCCCCCCTTCCCTCCCCCTTCCCTCCCCCTTTCCCTCCCCCCCCTCCCCCCCGAAGTGCAAAGCTGTTCCTCCCTCCTCGTCCTCCTCCTCGTCGTCGTCCTCCTCCTCCTCCTCCTCCTCCTCCTCCTCCTCCTCCTCCTCCTCCACCTTCCCTCCCTCCCTCCCTCCCTCCTCCTTCCTCCCTCCTCCCCTCCTCCCCTCCTCCACCTTCCCTCCCTCTCTCCCTCTTTCCCTCCCCCCCCTCCCCCCCGAAGTGCAAAGCTGACTCGTGGGCCGGGCAGGTCGGCGCTTCCGCCTCCACCCAGCTTTGCTCCATGGGGGGGAGGGGGGGGAGGGCGAACGCGATTTTTGGGCTGTAACAGATGAATGCGAAAATGTGGCCCCACGTGCGGGCGAATCCCATGGGACCGAGAATGTGGCCTCACGCGCGGGCGAAGATAATGGAAACGATACAGTGGCCTCATGGGACCGAGAATGTGGCCTCACGCGCGGGCGAAGATAATGGAAACGATACAGTGGCCTCACGCGCGGGCGAAGATAATGGACACTCCGCCGTTCCAGGAGGACCCTGTTTGAGCGTAGGGCGAAGATAATGGAAACGATACAGTGGCCTCACGCGCGGGCGAAGATAATGGACACTCCGCCGTTCCAGGAGGACCCTGTTTGAGCGTATTCTGGCCCCGCGCCCGTTTCGCGGCACACCCCTCACACGTTTCGTACGACACGCACGATCATTACTTCTAATGCAGAACGCCATTACCTCATCATATCGACGGATGGTCGTTTTTTACGCACGCCCCGGTATGGGGCCACGGAACACTGTGCTGCGTGGGTGAGACGAATACCAAATTAGATGTGTGGGACCCATGCGGGCGGTCCCACTGGAGGCTTCGGTTGAGCTCCCTATGAGGCCACCAAACGTTATAGTGAGTGGGTGAAGATGCCAAATTGGGTGTGTGGGACGCATGCGGGCGGTCCCGCTGGGGGGTTCGGAAGAGCTCCCCACGGGGCCACGAAACGTTGTACTGGGTGGGTGAAAATGCCAAATTGAATGTGTGGAGGACGCATGCGGACGGTGGCACTGGGGCCTTCGGCTGAGCTCCCTATGGGGTCACGAAGCGTTTTACTGGGTGGGTGAAAATGCCTAATTGAGCGTGTGGGACGCATGCGGGCGGTCCCACTAGGGGCTTCGGTGGAGCCCCCATATGGGGCACGAAGCTGTGTACTGGGTGGGTGAAAATGCCAAGTCGGGTTTTCGGGACGCACGTGGACGGTCCCAGTGGGGGTTTCGGTAGAGCTCCATATGGGCCACGAAGCGCTGTACTGGGTGGGTGGCAATGCCAAGCTGTGTGTTCGTGGCACATGCGGACGGTCCCATTGGAGTTTCGGTGGAGCTCCCTTTTGGGCCACGAAGCGTTGTACTGGGTGGGTGCAAATGTCAAACTACGTTTTCGGGACGCATGCGGACGGTGGCACTGGGGCTTTCGGCTGAGCTCCCTATGGGGCCACGAAGCGCTTTACTGTGTGAGTGAACATGCCAAATTGGGTTTTCGGGACGCACGCGGACGGTCCCAATGGGGGCTTCGGTAGCTCCCTACGGGCCACGAAACGCTGTACTGGGTGGGTGAAAATGCCAAATGGGGTTTTCGGAACGCACGCGGACGGTCCCAGGCCGTCGGTGGGATGGGTCCACGAAGCGCTGTACTGGGTATGCGGGACGCATGCGGACAGTAGCACTGGGACCTTCGGTCGGGCTCCCTATGGGGCCACGAAGCGCTGCACAGGGTGTGCGGGACGCATGCGGACGGTAGCACTGTGACCTTCGGTAGGGCCCCCTTATGGGGCCACGAAGCGCTGTACTGGGTGGGTGAAACGCAGTGAGGAGGGAGGAGGGGAGGAGGGGGAGGAGGGGGAGGGAGGAGGGGAGGAGGAGGACAGGAGAGCAACGCGGCGCACCGTCTCTCCAAAACGAGGACCCAACACCAGATGATGGTTGGGAAAGCAGACTCGATTCTCGATTCTTCTCCGCCTACCACCGCCAGGAGCTCAAACAATGACCGACCTGCCCATCCTGGGGTGCGTCCTGGCCAGGCTCCCAAAGGGAAAGCCAGCCGTGGCGACGACGGCGCCCCCGGCTGCCCACGGAGGGCGACAAAACGCAACAATCAGGAGGAAAAGAAACACACAGACACAATTAATCCTCCATTCCCAAGGAAAATATGGGAAAATATGGGAAGTGGGGGGGAAGACAAAAATCCAGAAAATATGGGAAAATATGGGGATTGTTTTTTATTTGTGTGTATTTATTTGTGTGCCCTTCGAAGCTCGGCGGGCTCGGGGCGGCGGCCCGTGGACGGTGCCCGCCCGTGCCTGCCGAGGCCGCACCAGGCGGGCCGACTGCTTCGGAGGCACCCCCATCAGCGAGCCGCAGGCCGCGCCACCACCCCGCCAGCCGCTGCTCGCGGCGTCGCCTCCTCTGCCCTCGGCCGCCGTGCATCGACTGGAGCCTCGAATTTCGGGATGGTGCTCCCGAATTTCTCGAGGGCCGAGGCTCGCGGGCGCCGTGCGGCCTCGGGCCTCCTGGAGACCCCTCGTGGCCGTCCCAATGGCTGGACCCGCCCACTGAGCTCCTGGCCCGGACGCGCCCTGGGATGGGTCCCGGGGTTCGACTAGTGACCCCCCGATGCCTTCGCGTGGCGTCAAAACCACGGCGGAAAGTCCGGGCAAGCTTCGGCCTTGCCTCGACTACACGAAGGAGTGACCCTTCGCCGGAGTGACCTTTGGTGCGCGCTCAGTGGGGTCCCCCGATCGCCGCGTTCGGTGCGAAAGTAGCGTCTTTCGCGCTTGTGTTTGGCCTCCGCGCGCCTCCAAAAAGCCGCGTACCAAAGGTCACTCCTGCCCAGTGTCACTCTTACGTGCAGCCGATTACATGGGAGGGGCCCCACCTGGACACGGGAGTGTCGAAACAGGTGCTCCAGGACAGGCATTTTTTGTCTGCAATCCCGGGGAAGGGGTTCGAGAGTTCTTGGCGTGCGCGTGAAAAAAGCACGGCGTCGGGGTACGGTCGGACCGAGACATAAGATCGAGTGCGGTTCGGGGAGGTGACCCTCATATGTTTCGAGTGTGTTGGATGCTATTGTGCATCTTGGCGAGGGTACTCTTGGATGTTCTGGGCGTTTTGGCCGGCGGAGGGTCCCATGTTCTTGAATTGGGCGTGGCTTAATGGGGGGGTCACAAATGGGGGGGTCAGAAAAGGTCCCCTTTCGTGCCCCTTTCGGGCCCCTCCGGAGCCACAGGGGGCTCGTTTAGGTACCGTTTGGGTAGCTTTTCGGACCATTCTCGCCACCCCCCCATTTATGACCCCCCCATTACGCAGCGCCCAATTGAAGGCAAGGACGGTGTTCTGTCCCAGGTCCGACCGTATCGGTCTGGGGTTCTGCTCACACGGGTGCCGGCCGGAGACTGCTCTGCCAGGATCCCCCAGATTTGGGGGACATCGAGCCCGCCCGCCCCGCCCCCCCCCCCCCCGAGAACCTGACCTTGTCTTACGTCGGGCCTGCCCCCCTACAGGGGGACCTTCGACGAAACATAAAGAATTAACCCCAAAAATGGTCCAAAAATAGTCGGGGGACTATTTGTTTAGTATGTTTTTTAACCTTTTGGGGGGTATTTTTGGGGTAATTCTCATTTTTCATTGAAAATCCCCATGTAGGGGGGCACGCCCGACATAAACCTTGTCGGTTGCGCAGCTCCGAAGCGGGGGGGGGGGGGGGCACCACCGGTGCGCGCGAGCATACGTGATCGGCTGGCACCTCCCCCCCATTTGGTGATCGCGGATTTGGGCCAGACGGGAGAGCCGACATTGTCTCAATTGGCCTTCCTCTTCTGATTCCCAGCCGCGCCTGGTGGGGTACTCCAGAACTCAGGCTGCCACTGCAGCCTCTGGCCTCACACTGGCTCCATGGTGGCGCATCGAGGGGCAGAACAGTGAGCGTTTCTTGTCGGAGGATGGTGCCGCCATGTGCCAGGCCTTCTGGTGGGGTCGGAGTGGATGGGGCCAGGGGACCGCGCCACATCGCCGATGGCTCGTCGATGCGGCTCCACCTTGGGCCCCTTTTCTCCACTCCGACGACGCCGCCGATGCATCGCCGACGCCTCGGCGATACGCTGGCGATATGGCGCGCTCCTCCGGCCCCATCTTCTCGGATCCCGCCCCGCCCCGGGGCTGCCAGTCTCCGCGGTGAGGGTTAACCTTTTAAGTCGGTCATTTCCTTCTACAGGAGGGAGATCCAAAAATAGTTACTGAAATAGTTTGGTGGCGATGTTTTGTGCTCTTTCCATTATTTGTGAGTGCTGTTTGAGTTTTTTTTATTTTTCTAACGTTCACAAATTTTCGACACCCGTGTCCTACACACCTCACGTGTTACCACCCACGGTCTGCCCAGGCAGCAGTCTCTCTTGGCTGCCAGAAGGGAGTGGACGTCAGGCTGCCCGATCGCTCGATCTGTGTATCGGCTCTGCCTGGCCCCGATGACTGGATACAATAATCTTCCTGTTGCGACCGATGAGATCGGTTGCTAACGATGTGTCTTCGAATTCTCGTTTTGGTCGTGACCGATTCCGAATCGGCCACGACCGACCATGACCGAGCAAATCCAATACCCATTGATCTGGGGAACATATGATTCGAGTGCGCCAGAGTTGGAGTTTGGCGACGCGTGTTGGCAGTCTTCGCTGGATGTCTGCAGCGGGAGTTCGCCGCGCCTCAGATTTCAGGCTGGGCCTCGCCATTTGTTTGACGGCCCCGTCAAGCAAACTCGAGCCCTCCAAACCAAACTCGAGTATTACTCGGCGGCGAGCGAGGGGGGACGTGAGAAGGAGGAGGCCTTCTCAGAAAGCGGCGGGGCTTCTCAGAAGCCCCCCGGACCTCTGAGATATTTTCTGTGTCTTTCGGGGAATGCTTCAGCCACTTCTCAGAAGGCCCGAGGCCTTCCGAGCCTTCTGAGAAGACCTGCCCCCTCTCTCTTCCCGCCTGGGCTCGCCGCCGACTTACCAGACCCCCGGCTTCGTGTGTTTTTCGCAAGGCGTTTTGTTGGCCGCCCCGAGGCCCGGGAAGGGCCCCCGCAGGCCAGAAATGGCGAGAAGCCTCCCGCCTTGTTTTTTGTCCCAACGCGAGGGGGTCTGCGTGTGCCTCCCCGATGCCTGGGAGGGGAGCACGAGGGGCACGAACACTGACATGCACAGAGCAAGTCGGAGGTCCGCGCGGGTTTCTCGGATCGGCGCTGGGTCCCCCTGGCGCGCTCCGCGCGCCAAGGAGGGGGGTCCAACGCCGATCCGAGAACAATCCGCGCCTCCTCCTCCTCCTCCTCCTCCTCCTCCTCCTCCTCCTCCTCCTCCTCCTCCTCCTCCTCCTCCCAGTTGTTCTGCTCGTGTCACTGCCTGCTCTCCCTGGGCAGAGCAGGCCGGGATGGCTCCCGGCCGGCCGCGGCCTCGCTGTCCGTGGGCGGCCCCGCGCGGGCGGCCCTCCGAGAGCGCGGGGGGGTGGCGCCCGAGCTCCCGGGGCGCTGCTCGCGGCGCGGGGCCGCGCCCTCTCGCGCCCCGGGGTCCCAGGGAGGGGGGGGGTCGCGCTGAGAGGCCCGCGTCGGCCGAGGTTTCGGCCGTGCCCGTCCCTCGACGGGAGGGATGGTCAAAGCTAGGCAAAAGATAGTCCGGGGACGTTTTTGTGGAGTATGTTTGAGCACTGCTTGTGCATTTGGTTGGCTATGTTTTATGCTACGTCCAAAGTCCGCCTGTAGAGGGACATGCCCGACCTGACGCCAGGGGGGGAAAGCTCTCACCTACTTTGCCCTCGATCACCAGAACGACTCTCGAGCACCAAGGAAGTACCGAAACGGAGCGGTTGTTACGTGACGGACCCTACGAAGCGATGCGCCTTCGACACTTCGCTAGCGCGTCGGGCATACACTGTTTCGATACTTTTCTGGGCGCGCGATCTTATTTAATTGAATGCCCCTGACGGGGCAGACACCGCCGCCCCACCATTCTTGGATCTTGGAGACTGTGTGGGAGTGGCGGCCGCTCCGCACGCGCGATTAGGAGATGTGCTGGTGCTGGTGCTGGTGCTTCCGCTTGGAGGCCTCGTGGGGCTCTGTGGAGAGTACGCTGGGCTCCTCAGCGAGCTCTCTGTCGTATGACCCTGCGCCCAGGAGGGCCGCCGAGAGGCCGGAGGGCGCCCGGTATCATTGAATAGCTTCGCTCATTCCGCCGGGGCCCATGTTGCGCGCCCTGGGAGCCGTTGGGGGCCTCCTGAGGGCCCCTGCGGGCCCAAGGCTCAACTTGACGGTTCGTGGTCCCCCTCTTGGGCCAGTCTTGGGGCCGCTTGGGGTCTCTTTCGGGTTGTTTTGGGCGCCTCTTGGGCCGTTTTGGGGCCGTCTCGAGATGTTTCGGGACTTTCGTGGGGGCCTCTTGGGCCGTCTTTGGACCTTCTTGGGGGGCCCTTTGGCCGCCTTGGAGCTTCGGAGGCTCGGAAAGGCGATAGCGTAACAATCATTGAAGAACGCAATCAAAATCACTGAACTTTGTCTCCGTGGGCCCTCTTGGGGGACCTCTTGAAGCAGGCTGCCGCCGTCCGCCTGGCTCTGGGCAGCCCAGCGCGGGCATGGAGATCATGCAGTCAAGATGCTGGAATAATCAGGAAGGAAAGAGCAAAAAACAACACAATTACTCGTCGACTCCCAGGAAAATTATGCGAAAATGTAGGAAGTGGGGGGGAAGACAGACACCCAGAAAAGATTCGAAAATACGGGGGATCTGTTCATTTGTGTGTATTTATTTGTGTGTTTGTGGGCCCCTTCAACCAATAAAGAACCCCTCCGGGATCAGGAGGGGCTCTGCTCTGCGGCCCGTCCCTTAAATCTAGGTAGGTCACGGAGCCTGTTCGTGGCCGAGACTCGCCGTGGCCAGATACGCCCACCGGCTCCTTTCTGAGCGTCCCTCGTGGTGGCGCGGGGGTATCAAGAAGAGGAAAAGATTCCGGAGGAGAAAAAAATACACAGACAAGTCATCGTCGCTTCCCAGGAGAGTGTTGGAACATATGGGGAGTGGGGGGGGAAGACAAAAGCCAAGAGAATATTGGAAAATATGGGGAATCCTGTTATTTGTGTGTGTATCTATTTGTGTGCCCCAGGGCCCCATGTACAGATGCCCACACACATGCCCGCACCTCGTCGCCGCGGCCGGCCCGTGCCTCGTGGCCGCGGGGCCGGAGGTGGCCCAGGTCTGGTTCCGGCCAGCAGGAGGCTGGCAGGTCTGAGCTGCTGGGTTGGGGGGCGGAAAAGAGGGGGGGGGGATGACTAGGGGGGGGGTGGATCTCATGGCGTGGGCCATGATATTTCCCGAAATTTCATGGCGCCTCTCCTTATTCCATTACGTTCCTGGCCCCCCGCTGGGCCGCGCACATGCCGCTGGTCATGATTTGCACCCCCCCCTCTTGGACACCCCCCTCTTGGCCGCTTCCGATGGGTTCCACAGGGTTTTTTGTTTTTCCTAACCATCCTGTGGTGTTGGGTCCTCGTTTTGAAGAGACGGTGGCCCGCGTCTCCTCTCCTCTCTCCTCCTCCTCTCCTCCTCCCCCCCCTCCTCCCTCTTCCCTCCCCCTCCGCACGCCGCCCCCATTTCGGCACACCCCTCACACGTTTCGTGGCCCCACAGGGAGCTCCACCGAAGGTCCCAGTGGGTGTGCCCGCATGCGTCCCGCACACCCTTTTCGGCACACCCCTCACACGTTTCGTGGCCCCATAGGGAGCTCTACCGAAGGTCCCAGTGGGTGTGCCCGCATGCGTCCCGCACACCCATTTCGGTACACCCCTCACACGTGTCGTGGCCCCACAGGGAGCTCCACCGAAGGTCCCAGAGGTTGTGCCCGCATGCGTCCCGCACACCCATTTCGGCACACCCCTCACGCGTTTCGTGGCCCCATAGGGGTTTCCACCGAAGGTCCCAGTGGGTGTGCCCGCATGCGTCCCGCACACCCATTTCGGCACACCCCTCACACGCTTCGTGGCCCCATAGGGAGCTCCACCGAAGGTCCCAGTGGGTGTGCCCGCATGCGTCCCGCACAGTCATTTCGGCACACCCCTCACACGTTTCGTGGCCCCAAGGGGAGCTCCACTGAATGTCCCAGTGGGTGTGCCCGCATGCGTCCCGCACACTCATTTCGGCAAACCCCTCACACGTTTCGTGGCCCCATAGAGGCTCCACCGAAGGTGTTCTCGTTTGGAAAGGCTAACGGGGGTGCCTCGGCATTTTCGAAGCGGGCGCGATCCTCGTGTGGGGCTAATGGGCGTCGCGGCGCGCGGGCGCTGCCGTCGGGGTTCCCAGGGAAGCCCCTGCAGAGGCTACGCCACACAATTCGGTACACCTTCATACGGTTCGTGGCCCCATAGAGAGCGCCACCCGAGAAGATATTCACAATTGCGGTACTCACAACTGCATATGGTTGGGTCCTTCGCCAGGATAAGTTCTGTCTCCGGGGGCCGTTTTCGGGCCCCAGTGCCGTCAAACAAGGGTCCGGGGTGGAAAATTGCAGTGGATGGACCCTGCGAGGGGTCAGGGGACAGATTTTGAACGGAGTTGCTTCGCCCCCCCCTCGTTTTGACCGATTCTCCTGGGGCACAACCAGCTCAGGCACCCTGGGCGCTTCCAAGCCAGAACGCGCACCGGGGGAGGTCCACGGAGTAGCGGTATCCGTATTTCTGTTTGCTCCTCCAGGCATGATTTGAGACGCCTGCGGCGAGTCACCGCCGCGCCCCCTGCCCTTTTGGAGACGCCTATGTGGCCAAACGTCGGGCCGACGTCTGGCGAGGCTGTTGGACGCCCTGTGGGGGAAGCCGTTGCGGAAGCCCTTGGGGGAGCGCTTCGGCGCGGAAGAGGGAGAGGAGGAGGGAAGAAACTATGGAAGAGGAAGTGGAGGAAGCGGAGGAGGCGTCTTGAGGCCATTTTGGGGCATCCTGGGGGCCTCTTGGGGGGCCCCTGGGTTGGGGGGCCTCGAGTGGCCAGCTTGGGGTCCTCTTGGGGTGCGTCAGGGCCGTCTTGGAGGTCTCGGGGGCCTTCTTCTTAAGGCCGTCTTGGGTTCGTTGGCCCTTCTTGGAGCTTAATTGGCCAGTCCTCTGGGGCCTCTTCGCTTGTGTTAGAATTATGCGGGGGGGCCTCTTGACCCCTCTGTGGCCGTCGGAGGGATTTAACGTCGAGAGCGCGACAATAATTCAAACACATTCTAGGAGCATGATTGCTTTGGACATCTTCGGACACTTCTTGAGGGCCTCTTGGAACCATTGGGTTGATTTGGGTGCCTCGTAAGCAGTCTCTGGACTGTTTTGGGTCCTCTTGGCTCCCTTGTCGACATCTAGGAGGTGATCGAAGCATCTCGGGACCGTCTTGGAGGCCATATTGGTTAATCTTGATGGTTTTCGGGGCGTTTGGCCATCTTGATCCATCTTGGGCGTAACAGCCATTAAGAGATCATGGGTTCGGGGTGGCGGGCTGGATCGGCCGAGACTTTATTTTGAACGTCTTGGGAGGATGTTCGAGTGAACCGTCCACCACGCCAGCACCCATCTTGAAACCGACAAGGGGCGCAGTAGCCGCCGTCCCATCCCGCCACCGGGCCTGGGTCAGGACTTGAGCCACCCAGGCTTCGAGGACAAGATTGAGCACGACAGGGCTGCGTTCAATTTTGTCTTCGGGATGCGATGGACAATAAGGCTCCCAGGGCCAGTCTGGCGCCCCTTCCGAGGCCGAAACATGTTTGATTTGGGTTGGCGAAGGGTGCAACTTTGTGCAGCTGCGTCTAGAGTTAGCGCAGGATATGCCCCCCTCATATACTACGCGCCATGGAAGGGATGGAGTTCGGGTCAGTGTGGATAGGAGGCTGCGGACCAGGCGCGCAAATGCGAGCTGGGCTCAAAGTGTATTGCGCGATCCATGTGATGGTTGCGCCGAAATGGGTTTCGGACCGCATTCATGGACTCGCGATTGGACCTGAGGTGGCGCTTCGTACGGGAGCACGATCCGCGGGAGAGGTGTACCAACATGGGCACGGTGCCGCCATGCAAATTGGCCCGCGGGGACGGCAGCCCCATGGGAGCGCGATCCGCGTGAGGGGTACGGCGTACTAGGAGAGGTGTCGCCGTGCAAACTGGCCCACTGAGACCGTAGGTGGAGGTCCCTATGGGATCGCGATCCGCTCCGCGTGAGGGTGTGGCGACATGGGCGCGGTGCCGCCGCGCGAACTGGCCCGCTGGGACCGCAGGTGGAGTTCCCTACGCGGAATGAGGGCGGGGAGGAGGGAGGAGGAGGAGGAGGAGGAGGAGGAGGAGGAGGAGGAGGAGGAGGAGGAGGAGGAGGAGCAGAGGAGGAGGAGGAGGAGGAGGAGGAGGAGGAGGAGGAGGAGGAGGAGGAGGAGGAGAACGAGGAGGAGCAGGAGGAGGAGGAGGAGGAGGAGGAGGAGGAGGAGGAGGAGGAGGAGGAGGAGGAGAGGGAGGAGCGCGCAAGACTGCCCTCCGCTCCCTCCAAGCCGCCGCGCGCAGGCCCCGACGCCGGGCAAGGACCGCGGGGCCGACGCGGCCCGCGCGCCCGCAAGTTCCCTGGCATCGGGGGCGTCGAGCGCGACGGAGGCGTCACGACGACAGGACCCCGCCGCTGATGCGCCGCTGGCCACCCCTCCCCCCGGTTGAGTGGTGTAGATCTTGAGTGGTGTAGAGATTGAATTCCGATTTAATCCGTTCTCCCACTGCTAGATCGCACTGCTGTAAGGAGTAAATCGAGATTTAATCCGTATTAAAATCGAAAAACCGGCCGTTTAGCCCTCCCCCCCGGACTCCCGGCGTTGCGATTTGTCACGAGAGGCCTCGATCCAGTCCCCGGGACCAGCTTTTCATCCAGAGTCGTTTCTGACGCTCCCGCGAGGCCCGGTGAGGGCCCGACCCCAGAAGCGGAAGATGGCGAAGCACTTCCCGCCGTGAGTTTTTGATGACTCGAGGGAGCCTGGGCCTGCTGCTGCATGCGCGCCCATGCTTTTGTGCTCACGCCCCGGCGTTGGCTCCTGGACCAGTCTCGTGAGCCAGCCTCCCCGGGGTGTCGCCGACCCCGCATCCCGGCGGGGCCGAGCGCGACGGGATCGTCGGAGACCCCCAGGGGCGTCGGAGACCCCCCGGGGGCGCCGTGAGGGTCGGCGTCAGGCCGGTGGAAGTCTGAAGAGATGGCGGCTCCGCCGGAGGCAGCCGGGGTCAGTAACAAGTCGCCCGCCACGAGTTGACTGTTGCGTTTTCCCGTCCTCACATTGCGGCCACATACCCATCGGTCGTTGAAGGTAGGTATTTCTGGATTCCCAGATTCCAGTGATCAAGTGGCTTCACCTTCTCCGTCCTCCCGAGGGGGGCGGACGGAACCCAATCTATTTTCCACGCCTTCCTACTTCATGTTTCTACCTACTTCTTCCGACCGATGGGCATGCTGCGCGCAGCCAGAACAGGCATCGGGGCAGTGCGGAGGAGGGAAGGGGGGCTGCGGAGCATTCGCGCAGAAGCGTGCTGACCTCCCCATGGGCACGATCCGTGTGAGTGGTGCTAGGCTGAAGTCGGGCATGCCCCTGCACGGATATTCAAAAATAGTCAAAAAGTAGTCTGGGGACTATGGTTTGATTATTTGTTGTTAATTTTCCATTTTTCCCATATGCTTATTTTTCTTCCAACATGCACCTGTAGGGGGACATGCCCGACCTAATGCTTGGCGCGGGGCAGTACCTGAACGCTCCCGCTGGGGCCAGAGGTGGAGATTTTTTCCAGGGGGCGTAATGCCGCAACGGGCGCGGAGACGCTGCGGGAATGCCCGTGTGCGGGCCGCAGGTGGAACTCCCCTTGGATCACGCTCCGTGTGAGGGGCTGACATGCGCGGAGACACTCAAACCGCTCCCAGCTGCGGCCGTAGGTGGAGCTCTCGATGGGGCACGATCCATGTGAGAGGTGTGTGTTAAATGGAGTCGGAGACGCTAAAGGAACGCCCTCGCTATGGCCGTAGGTTGGATTGCAGCTGGCACAACGGTAAGAACAACACCGGTTTGGGAGACGTGCCATGTTATGTTTCGTGCCCAGGCGTTCCTCCTTGGAATTGTTTCAGTTGTCGATTTGTCCATTGGGCATTGCGCATTGTGCCTTCGGCGCAGGAGCTCATGTTCTTGGCCCGCGTTCTTGTCGCCGTGTTCCGACTGCACATGTGCGGGAAGAGCCGAGTGGGGGGTGCTCGCCAGGAGATGGGACACAGATTCTCGCCGCGCGCAAGGTGTGCCGCGCGCGCCAGGGCATCCTCACTCCTCCCTCCTCCCTCCTGCCTCCTGCCTCCTCCTTCTCCTCCTCCTCCTCCCTCCTGCTCCTCCTCAATTCCTTTTCCTCCTCCTGCTTCCTCCTGCCTCCTCCTCCTCCTCCTCCTCCTCCTCCTCCTCCTCCTCATCATCATCATCATCATCATCATCATCATCATCATCATCATCATCCCTGCCAGATGACAGTGCAAAGTGATCGCGGGGCGCCCGCGCACGGTCTAGGCTTTGGCCGCAGCGTGCGCGTGCTGCAAATTTTGTCATGACGCGAACGGTGGGCCTGCACAAATTTGACGATATGCCCGCCCGTCATCTTAAAACAAATGTTTAAAAACAGCAGACAGAACAAAAACACTATTCACAGTGATCGCGGGGGTAATGAAGATTTTGCCGCAACGTACCTGCTGTATTGCTTGCCGACAGAGACGGCGGGGGGTAGCATTAGCCCTGGTTGCTTGCTGACAGAGACGGCGGGGGGTAGCATTAGCCCTGGTTGGCGGCCAGTCGAGTGGCAGATCCCCTCTCGAATAGTGGAAGAAGGTGTTTCGGATCAGGAAGGCACAAAACGTTCTACCACCTTCAACCACAGGACCGGCGGGATTACGCACCCTCTTGAAAGTCGTCTTTCCCGCTTCTCCTGGTAACCCTTCAATCCTACTGTCCCCGCCCTTCCTCTTCTTGGTGCGCTCCTGCACTGAGCCTCCCGTCTTCACATCCTGTACTCCGCCCAGACGCGTGTTCCCTGCGCGCACCCCATTCTTTGCACGGTGCCCTTGCTTCGTCGACACGGGGTTCTGGTGGGAACGCGTCCTGGTCCCCAGGACTGAAGCTGTTCATCCCGAGTCGGCCTCTGACGGCTGCCGGGGCCCAGTGGTCATTGCGGTCACGATCGGCAGCGACCGATCGGCATTTTGAGTCGGTCGCGACCGATCGCGATCGATTCCAAAATCGGTCGCGACAGGTCCTGACCGATCGCGACCGAGCGGTCGCAAGCGCTTTTGAAGCACATCGGCCGCGACCGATACCAGGATCTGAAGCAAAATCGGTAGCGGCCTTTCTCGCCAGTCGCGACCAGAAAGTTCTGGCGCCCACTGATTCAAGACCTCCCAGATGGGATCGGAGTGGATGGAATCGGAGGATCGCTCCGCATCGCCGATGCATAGGCGATGCGGCTCGATGTGGAGCACGATTTTCTCTGCGCTGCCGGCGCCGATGCGCGCAGACGTCGCTGATGCATCATTCGAGTAAGGGATCGACTACAGAATCGATGTACCCCAACATTGGTTTGTTCGTCGAGCCTGCGAAAAATATGTAGAATGCTCCGCAGAGCCTTCTACGCATTCGTTGAAACATTCGACGCAACATCAATTTTGGGGTAAATCATCGCCGATACGGCGCGTCCCTCCGATCCCCACCTGCTCCGACGCCACCCGGGAGGCCTCCAGTGATCAAGGCTCCCCGAAAAAGCAGACGGCGGAGCGCGCTTCCCCAGCCGCGCCTTCAAAGGGTGCTAATTACAGGGGGCGGGGCGCGCTCGGCAGGAGGGGGAGGGGGTCCTCCGAGGGGGAAGCGGGACTGCAGATGCTTGGATAGGGGAACGAAGAATGACATAATATAAAAACTCGGAGGTCCGCGCGGATTTCTCGGATCGGTGCTGGACCCCCCTCCCTGGCGCGCTCCGCGCGCTAGGGGCGATCGCAAACATGGATCAAGGGGGTGTGGATTGGCGACGGGTCCCGTTTCCATGGGAAATCGCGGATCCCCGCAGCCGAACGAGGCGGCACCGGCCGCATTTTGGGGAGGGCATTTCCCCGATCCATGGATGTGGCGACCGCGCGGCAAATCCATGGATCGCTAATCCATGCTTGCGCGCCCCCGAGAGAGGGAAGCGGGGCTGCAGATGCTTGGAGCCGGCCGGGGGTCTGCCTTGGCCGCCGTCCTCCCCTCTTCTCGGGCCTTCTCTCCCGATCGCTGGGGGTCTGAGGTGGCCCAGGCGAGCAGGAATTTAGAAGGAAAAAAACACACAGACACAATTAATCGTCGATTCCCACCCGAAAAATATGGGAAAATATGGAAGTGTGGGGGAAGACAAAAACCCCAAACATGTAGGAACATATGGGACATATGTTTATGTGTGTGTATTGATTTGTGTGTGTCCTGGGGCCCCTTCAAGGAGGGGGGGGGGGGCGAGGTCCGAGGCACCGGGTTCGAGAAGATTGTCCTGCCCTTGTCGGCCCGTGGGGTCCAAGCCAATGGAGACCTCCCAGCCGCCTCCAAAAGCCCCAGATGCCTCTCACGACCCTTGGGCTTCCCAGGTTCTGCTGGGCCTTCCCTGCCCGGATCACTGGATGCCAGAGATCGGGCGCTACCGATCTGCTTCAAAATCCGGTGTCGGTAGCGACCTATTCGCTTCAACATCGGGCTCAAAACGGTTTACACAGTTGTCAGGTCGTTGAAACCTCCCCAGTTCTTCTCAGAGGAGGACGAGGCGTACATATGCGCACCATGACTTAAAGCCATGGAAGGATTTGGCGAGGTTAAGAGAACCACAGGTTTAGAGAACCTTCAAGGGCACCAGGGAAAGCTTAAAGGGCCAGGGCCAATCTTACAGGGCGCCAGGGAGAACCTTACAGGGCGCCAGGGCCAACCTTACAGGGTGTCAGGGATAACCTTACAGGGCACCAGGGAGAAGCCTGCAGGGCGCCAGGGACAACCTTAGAGGGCACCAGGGAGAACCTTAGAGGGCACCAGGGAGAACCTTAGAGGGCACCAGGGACAACCTTACAGGGCACCAGGGGCACCAGGGGCAACCTCACAGGGCAGCAGGGGAGCGCTGAAATGGTCGAATCGGCAATTGGAGCACCCAAAAAGCCGAATCGGCAATTTAAACACAGAAACAGTCGAATCGGCAATCTGAGCACAGAAGCGGTCGACTCGGCAAGCAATCTGAGCACAGAAACGGTCGAATCGGCAATCTGAGCACAGGAACGGTCGAATCGGCAATTTGAGCGCCCAAACGGTCGAATCCGCAATCTGAGCACAGAAACGGTTGAATTGGCAAATTGAGCACAGAAACGTTGGAATCGGCAATCTGCACACAAAAATGGTCGAATCGCCCGAATCCGCAATCTGAGCACAGAAACGGTCGAATGGGCAATTTGAACACAGAAACGGTTGAATGGGCAATCTGAGGACAGAAACGCCGGAATCAGCAATCTGAGCACAGGAACGGTCGAATGGGCAATCTGAGCAAAAAAACGGTTGAATCGGCAATCTGAGGACAGAAGCAGTCACATCGGCAATCTGAGCACAGAAACGGCCGAATCCGCAATGTTACCATAGAAATGCCCGAATCGGCAATCCTAGCCCAGAAACACCCGAATCGGCAACCTGAGCACAGAAACGCCGGAATCGGCAATCTGAACACAGAAACGCCCGCATCGGCAATCTAGCACAGAAGCGCCCGAATCGGCAATCCGACAGCAGCAACGCTCAGGTTGGCAATCTGAGAACAGAAATGCTCAAATCGGCAATTTGACAACAGCAGCGCTCAGGTTGGCAATGTGAGCACGGAAACGCCGGAATCGGCAATCTAACAAAAGCAAAGGTCAGGTTGGCAATCTGAGCAAAGAAACGCTAGAATTAGCAATCTGAGCAGACAAACGCTCGAATCGGCAATCTGAGCACAGAAACGCCCGAACCGGAAATCTAACATAAGCATCGCTCAAGTTGACAATATGAGCACATAAACGCCCGAATTTGCCATCTGAACACAAAAACGCCGAAATGTGCAATCTGAGCACAGAAGCGCCCGAATCCGCAATCTGACAACAGCAACGCCCAGGTTGGCAACCTGATCACAGAAACGCCTGAATTGGCCACCAGAACGCACAAACGCGAAGAGTGGCAATCTGAAGACGAAGACGTGCAAATTGGCGAAATGGCAATCTGAGCACAGAAACGCTTGAATCGCAATCTGGCAACAGCAGCGCTCAAGTTGACAATTTGGATACAGAAACGTCCAAATCGGCAATCTTATACCGAAGCCCCTGCATTAGTAATTGAAGCCAGGACGCGCTCAGATTGCAGTCTGAGCACGCAAGCGCCGGAATGACAACCTTAGCCCGAAATCGTCAAAATGGAGTCTTAGCACGCAAACGGTCGAATAGGCAATCTGAGCACGCAACTGCCCAAATTGCTAGTTTAGGCAGTAATCTAAATGTATTGTTGGTCTTCTTTGGGGTTCTCAGGGGGCTGCTCGGCTGCCAGGTGCTAGGGCAACTCAGGGTGCGTTAGCGATTGTCCTTGGCTCAAGTGGTTTCAGTTTCATTAGACAGACCTGTGCACCTTACAATTCCATGGCAAGTGTGGTAGAATGTCCATACTGTTGTCTGCCTGTGTCCGAGGCACTCATGATGGTACACCTTGCCCAAGCACACCCTGGATACATGGAACAAGTCAGTGGTGCTGCACCGAATTCCTCACAACCCTTGCCCATTTTGGGCCCACCAGTTAGGGCCAGAAGCTCGATCGCTGCAAGTCCTGAGTCTCGAGGGCAAGCTTCTCCATTGGCAATCGGAGCGCCGCCGTCCGTTTCAGCCATTGTGCCCATTGCAGCGCTGCCGTCTTCGAATGGATTTGATTTCCAAAGTTGTGCAGAGATGGATCTGGCGAGTCTGTTGGCATGGCGGCACCATGGGGGCGAGGCAGGTCTCCTGGCAGATTTACTCCCAGCTTCAATCGTCAGACCTTCTAGGACGATGCCAACGCAGTCAAACCCCTCTGCTGCGGCCTGCATCGCGCCCAAGCCACTCTAAACAGAACTAGGGCCATGGACCCACAGCGCGCGCTATGCCCGCGCTGTCAGGCGAGAGATTCGGCGAATTACGACGGAACTCCTTGTGAATGCCAACGCGACAGACTTGGGCTGACAACGATTCTTTCAATCGTCGCGCACTGTCTGTGCGGATCTACTGTTGCCCGTGCTGCAAGGGAGACAAAGGTCTGGGATGGCGCAGTTCGGTCAATTTGGGATTCGTGTAGAGAGATTGTGGCTCGGCACCACAATATTTTATTGTGCGCGGCGGATGATCACTGCGTCGTTGATTTTACTCGGGGCCCCCGCAGAGGGCGCATTCGCCGCGGAGTTCCTGCTGGGCCATTTAACTGCGAGGGCTACACGTTCCAGGTGGCGACTGCTTATCGCCTGAGCCTTGGCGCGCGCAAGCTCGCGCCCGGAAGCTTCAGGGCCCAGCGAGTTGTCAGCCAGGGCGCCACTTACTACATGAATGTTGCACTGAGGGTGCTGGGCCCTTCGCGCCGCGCGAATACCGACCAAGGAATTGAGCGGGCTCGATTGCCCCAGGTATTTGCTTCCACGGCAACTCCGTGGAGCGGGTTTCACAGGGTGGAGCAACTATTAATCTGGGAGAAGCACACAATGGGATCATCAAGAAGCTCTTTTCAGAGCTCCATCTATGGAAGGGCAGGGTCTCTGACGAAAAATTGGAAACGCGTTGGCATGAGCTGGGTTGGCGCATCACTTCTGGGCGTAGTAGATCAGAGATTCCAGCAGGGGCGAGATGCGTTGCATTCCCCCGCGTTTCAAGTCAATGCCAGGCCAGCGCGGCAGGGTCTAGCCCGCCAGTTTGCTCCGAGCCGCGGCGCGCAACCGAGATGCGGGGCATTGCTGCTTCAGCGGGCGAACGTCGCGCGCGCGGATTCCCTTCCAAGAGAGGGGCCCTTGAAACAACGCAGGCGGGCTCAACGAGAATGGCCCGAAAGCGGGGGCAAAACTTTGGAATTACCAGTTTTTTCCAGACAGCAGCGATCTGACTTCCACCAGCGGTGCGAATGTTTTCCACGGCGTCGTTCACGACTCAGCGGGGGATGAATAAACCGAGTTCTCGTTTTGAAGAGGGGGGGGGCGCGCGCGCCTCAAACAACTTCGGAAACGGAAAACCACCCCGGCGACGCTGCTAGCGACGCAGGCGACCCGTCCGACGGAGCCCCGAGCTCAGCGACAAACGCCGCAGAAGATAAGTCCGACGACGATTCTGATGCAGCTCCACTCGTGCCGCGTAAACGGCCCGCCTCTCAAGTGATTCACGCGCCGGTTGAAACTGCCATCGGGGAGCTAGACGAGGCGCTGGCTCAGCGCGGAAAACGGCGCGACCCAAGTACCCCCAATAATGGGCACCGTTTGCATCGTGCGCTGAGGGCTTGTGGGATGACCGACGAGAGTGCAGCGCAGATGAGGCGTCGGGCAACAGACGAGGCAGACCCCCCAGCGCTCGCAGTGTCAGCGGGGGCCATGGGTCGCACAGCGCGGCAACGCAGCGCAAATCTGATTACGGGGATGATTTGGCGCTGGCCACCCTGAGCAAAAGCTACAATACATGTGTCGCCGTAGTCAATGCTGATTGCATTCGGACCTTTACAAATATTGGAGATGACGTGGGCGGCCCTGTGCCAGACAGCTTCTGGTTGGGGCCTAATCGCGCCAATCATTGCCATGGCGCTCTTCCAGCGACTCCTCCTGCAGAAGTGCCGCCATCTGCGCGTGGATTGATCGGGTTAATATCGAGAGAACGCAAAGGAGCTGAAGCAGGTGATTCAGAGAGACGAGCTGCCGCGAGCGATGTTTCACTTCATTTTCACCCGAACTGTCGCTGCGAACTACTTGCAATCTGGAGTAGCTGATGCCAGAGAAGAAAAGAAGCATCAATCTAGATTCGAGCGTTCGCGTGCTCGGGTTGCCAATTCAGGTGCTTCTGTAATCCAGTGCTGATTTTGGCATTCGCATGTTCAGATTGCCGCCGCGGACGTTTTCTCGTTCATATTGCCATTCTGAGTGCTTCCACGTTAGAATTGCACATTCAGGCATTTCCGTGTTCAGTTTCCCGATAGGAGCGTCTCCGTGCACACATGGCCGATTTTGTCGGTCTTGTGATTGTTGATTCAGGCGTTTCGATGCTGAGATTGCCAATTCCAGCGTTTCTGATATCAGGTTGCCAATTCTGACGTCTCTGCGTGCTGATACTGCCGATTCGAGTGCTTCCGTGTTGATGTTGTTGATTCGGGCGCTCCCGTTCTCAGATTGCCGATTCTATGTTCAGATTGCCGATTCAGGCGCTTCCGTGCTCACATTGCTAATTTAGGCGTTTTTGTTGCCAAAGTGCAGATTCGGAGGCGTCCGCGATCAGACTGCCGATTCGAGCAGCTCCGTACTAAGATCGCCCATTCGGGCGTTTGTGTTGAAGCGTTTCTGTGTTGAGATTGCCAACCTAAGCGTTTCTGATGTCAGATTGTCGATTCGGGCGCTTCCGCGCGCAAATTGCCGATTCTGCCGCAGATTGCCGATTCGGGCGCTTCTGTGCTCAGATTCCCGATTCGGGCGTTTCTGTGTTCAGATTGCCGATTCGACCGTTTCTGCTTTCAGGCCGCTTGGAGCGGTTCCGCGCGCCGATTGCAGATTTGGGCGTTCCCCTTGCAGATTCGAGCGCTATCCGTGCCCAGATTGCCGATTCGAGCGCTGCCGTGCTTAGGTTGCTGATTCAGGCGCGTCCGCCCTCAGATTTCCGATTCGGGAGCTTCGGTGTTCAGATTGTTGATTTGGGCGTTTCTGTTGTCAGATTGCGATTGTGGGAGCATTTCGCTGATGGCCAATTCGTGGTCTGCTGCCAGGCTCTGTACACCAGGGCAACAAATTTTACGCGTGTCTCCCCTGTGTGAAGGAGTGTCGAGGTTTCAACGACCGCGCTCTTCTGTAAACCATTTCCACCCCAAAATTGGGCGCGAACAGTCAGTCAGGACTGGTAGCGACCGATTTTGGAAACAGTCGCGATCGGTCGCGACCGATTTAGAGTGCCGATCTGTCGCTACCGATCGCGACCGAAGAAATCCAGTACGCAATGATTTGGGAAACGTGAGATTCGAGCTCGCCGGAAGTCCGGTTTTCCGAATTTTTGGCGAGCCTGTCGTGGAGTTTGGCGGTCCAGATTTCGCGGGATGTCTGCAGCGGTAGCTCGCATCAGATTTCAGACAGAGGAGCAGGAGGAGGAGGAGCAGGAGCAGGAGGAGGAGGAGCCCCGTGCCCCGCGCCAGGAGCCCGACGAGGCGGAGAGAGAGGCCGAGGGAGGGGGTGGTGTTCTGGTCGTCTCCTGCCGGCCCTCTCTGCCGGGCCAGACGAAAGGGGGGGATAGGGAAAGGGAGGGTTGCGAAATCTGCTGCGTGCAGCTGGTTTCGGCCCCGCCGCCGGGCCCACTCCTCGATACATGGGCGCCTCCCGGCGCGGGGAGGCGCCGGGAAAATCAGCTACGCGAGCTGATTCTCCCCCCCCCCCTTTGCTATCCCCCCCTTTCGCCCTGCCCGAGCCTCCGCCGGTTCCCCATGCTGCTGCGCGCTGTTGCACGCCGCCCAAGTCGGGCTTCGCTCTTTGCTCTTTAGCGGCAGGGCGCAGCGATCCCCACATTTAGGATGCATCCCCTGAGAGGTCAAATTCAGCATCGGCGCTTGTAAAGCATTGGTCGACAACCAGCCTAATCGAGCACAGCCCCCGTTTCATCCCGCTCCCGCTTAATCCCACTTGCTCCGGCGTGACCTCGGCCTAATCCGGCTTAGTGGCCCCATGATCGGGTTGAATTGCCAGTATGGTTCCTACGAAGACCTCCAACGAGTTGCTCCATGACTCATACAGTTAAGATTTTGAAATAAGGACCGCATTGGGTCGGGAGGGGCTCGGATTTTCTGGCCGCTCCATAGATCCAGGTCGGGGAACCCGTTCGTGTCCGAAGCTCGCCGCGACGAAGAAAGCCCCTCCGTTCCTGACTTTGCCTTCCTCCTCACGCCAGCACGCCGACTCACATCTGTGTCCGAGAAGCGCAGCAAAACGAGGTCTTGGTCGCCCCCCCTGGGCGCGAGGATCCTCGCGCACCGCGCGTTGCCGTCTGGGGTAGGGCAGCTGCCCTTCCCCAGGCCCAGACCCCCGACGCCATTCCCCAGACAGTGCTTGCGCTCGGGGTGTCTCACTGGTGCTCGGAGGAGCCAGGCCGTGTGGGCGGTCTGGCGGCTCCGTGCTGGCAGTCGCCGCCCCATCGCCGCTTCGTCGCCGCCCGTCGCCTGGGCCGTGCGGGCAGTCTGGCGGCTCCGTGCTGGCCGGCGCCACCCTGTCGCCGCCTAGTCGCCCCCCGTCGCCGCCGGTGGATTGCACCACGTAGATGTCACCAAAGGAGCGCACCCAGGGGGGTGATGACTAGGGAGGGGTGCATCTCATGGCGGGGGCTATGATATCTCCCCAGATTTCATAGCGCCTCTTCTCATTCCATTACGTCCCTGGCCCTCCCCTGGGCCGCGCACATGCCGCTGGCCATGATGTGCGCCCCCCCCCTCTTGGACACCCCCCTCTTGGCCGCCCCCGAGAGAAAGCGTTGAAGATCCTCCGCCTCGGAGCGCTGCTGGCTCCAGAAAGGACAGCGTTTTTCTACTCACGGTCGATGGCGGGCGTTTCGGGGGGAGGCGGGGGGGAGGCGGGGGGGGCGGTATCGTCACGTTTCGCGCAGGCGCCGTCTGGGAACGTCAAGGAAAAGCAAGGACAATTCGGAGGTCAGCACCAATCGTGACATTGCCTGGGGTGGGGTGGGCGGCGGGGGCCCGTACTGTCGCGAGCAACAGAAAAACGCTCTCAAGTGTTGTGGGCCCCGAAAGATGTTCCTGTCTCGGGATACGTTCTAGCAGCTGCGCCTCGTCGAGCCCGCCCATGCGTTACCGGATATTCTCGGCAACGTTTTGGACGAGCCGGTCTCCAAAACTATGTTTCCGGTCGCACATTCCGATAACGAGAGAGCCGTCGACGTCTTCGCATCTTTCGCTTGGACTCCGACGCACCGTCTCCGTTACCACAATTCGACCCACTCCAGCCGCGACCAAAATCTGGCGCGACCGAAATCCGTTGCTGACAGTTTCTGGTCGCGGATGACTCGGGTTGTCAGTTCTGGGAGGTGTTCCAGTTTTCTCGCCTCGGGATGCGGTCCAGCAGCTGCACCTCGTCGAGAGCTTGCCGGGGGCTCCCGGCTCGTTCCGAGCGGCTGCCAAAGGCCCGAGTGGTGACCCAGAGTTCACCAGGCGATTCGCAGCGGGAGAGCACGAAGAGCTCAGGTCTCCGACGGCGGGGAAACACACACACACACAGTCCGTGGGGAAAACACACACAAACACACACACACAACAAAAAAAACACTGTGTGTTTTTGTGTGTGTGTTTTTTCCCTACAGTGTGTGTGTGTGTGTGCTTTTCCCCACAGTGTGTGTGTGTGTGTGTGTGTGTTTCCCCCACGTGTGATTTTTTCGATCTGAGCGTCAATCTGCGATTTCGGCCTTGAGTGCACGTACGCGGGCTTCGGGGCGGGGTCGCGGTTCTGATGCCATTCGAGGCGATTCACAAGCGTCGGCCGGGGCCAGCCGGAGCTGGGCGCGGCGACCCGATTTCGATTCGGCTTGGGACGATTCGCGGGCGATCCGATCAGTTTCCGACCGGATCCGTTTTCGCGGCTCGATCCAGCCTCGGCTTGCCGTTCTCGTCTTGGAGAAGCCCCCTGCCGCGCGCTTGTCTTCTCAGGAGGGCCACCTCGTGGACCCAGGGCCCCCCTGTGAAGAGGATCACCGAGAAACTTCTCAGAGGCCAAGGTCATTGCTGCTCCTCCCGTGCTTGCATGATTTGGGCACATGTCTTTAGTTGCGTTTCGCTTCGAGGGTTCGTCTGTCAGGGCTACTTTGATTATCTCCCCCTGAACCCCGAACTTTATTATCCCCTAGTGTTTATTCTCACGGGTTAGCGGTTACGCCGGAACGCGGGTCTGTCGACGTTTTTAACAAGCCAGTCTTGGATTTCAATGGTCTACTTTGCGTAGGATGTCTGCAGCGGGATCCCTCGTCAAAGTTCAGACGGGTCGCGTCATCTTCCTGATGGCCCCGTCAGGCCAACCCGAACCCCCCCGAACCCGAGTCTTGCAGTGGAAACCCATGCCAAGAAACACCCTGCTTGTCTCCAGGGTGCCCTTGGTTTCCTTGGTGTCGATGGTTTTGCTATGGGAAGCGTGACGCTCTCACACCAAAAATCAATGGACGTCCTGGGGTCTCAGGGTTGGGTTTCTTGTGGAAGGTTTCTCGTGGTTGAGCTCCTACTGTACGTCTCACCGACACTACAGGTTTACGATCAAGGCGTTCGAACAAGGAACGCCCGGGGCTCAGGAGGGACTCCTGGTTCTCGCGCCGTTCCTCAGATCCAGGTCCGGGAATCTACCAGTGGCCGAGGCTCGCCGTGGTCAGGAGAGCCCCTTCGTTCCTCAGTATCGAGCCGTGCACGTCCCTCTACACGAGGAATATTCCAGAATTGGAAACATGTTCAGGAGACGATTGTCCGTGCTCCTTTCACTATATTTGGCTATTTTTATGTTTCCGTCGCCGTGCGACAAAGCATCATGGCCGAGGCTAGCCGTGGCCAGAGAAGCCCCTTCGCTCCCGTCTTCAGTTACCTCTGTAGCAGCACGATAGCTGTATGAAGGAATCGTGCTCTCGCCTCAAAACTGGCTACATCTTTGGTCAGTACAGCCACGCCCCCGTGTGGAGAAATGCACTCCGTTGTACATGCAGCGATTTGCTGCCATCAGGGTGCTTTGCTGGGGTAATACCTGTGTGTGTCTTCCGAGCGTCCTAGACGGCCCAAGAGGCTCCCAAGCCCTCTTGGGGAACTTTTGGCGGTTGCGGCGTCTTCATGCCATCCTGGGCCGTCTGGAAGCGCTACTGGGCCGGTCTCGTCTTGGGGCCTTCTCGGAGCCTTCTTGGCCCGCGAAGGTGCCCTGTGGCCTATGGAAAAGTCATGCGCGACGCTCTGGGAACGCCTTGAAATCTCCAGGACTCGGGGGGCTGTGCGTATTAAATTTCACGTACGGCATCCAATATTGTACAAGATAGAAGGAACCTGTTGGACGCGCCACACAGTGCCTCCCGGCACAGTGGCAGATTAATTGGCGGAGTCTTTACGTTTGTTGATGTTCCCGTGTTTATTGCTGTTGTTGCGTCGGGCATCCTGTTACCGAAGAAGGATCCTTGTGCGGATTCTTCTCCTGCAGGCAGGGTTCACAAGCAGGGGAACCCAATTGCAACCTTGGAGTATGGCCCTGGCGAGTTTCAAGATGTATGTTCAGGGGGAGGGGGAGGGCGGGGTAGCGGGAGTAGTTTCAGCTACGTTTCGTTGCGGGGGGGCATCTTGGCCGGTTCCCAGTGCAGGCGTACCCCTCGTGCGGAGCGTGCCCGGGGGCCCAGACGCTCCCCGACGGCCCCAAGACACGTCAGCCACGCGCAGAGGGAGGTGGGGGGAGGGGGGAGGGCTTCGTAGAAGCACCCCTGCTTCATAGAAGGCGCGGGCCTTATCTATAGATGTAGCCGGCGTCTTCTAAGAAGCAGCCTGCTTCTAAGAAGCCCTCCCCCCTCCCTCCACCCCCTTGTGCGCGCCGCCAAACAAGCTAAAATTGTACCCAGACCCCCCCACCAGGGATAGCAATGTGGCTCCAAGAGGCTCCAACAAAGGCCCCAAACAGCAAGAGAGAGCGCCAAGAGAGCCCCCAAAACGGCACCCCCCCTAGAGCCCTGATACAGTCCCAAGTCCAGGCCATATTACCTTCTGATTACGAAGTCTACGTGTTGGCTTCCCCAGGAAGGGCTGCCTGGACGCTTGCTCTGCGGGCTCAATAGAGTTGGATTCTTGCGTCATGGTTCTCATCACTTGGTGGACGAGCCGCCCTGAAAATTGGCATCACAGCAGAATCATTGTTCCCACGACCAGCTTGGCCACGCCAGTTCTCGCCGATTTAAGTCAGTGTTCTTGGGGTTCACACCTGACCATTGGAGTGCATTGAGTTTTGCGAGAAAGCAGAGGGCGGAGGCAAGTGAGCAATTTGTATTGAGCCACCGATACGAACGGTCGGGCCCCACGGGCGATAGAAGGGGCCGCATCCGTGTACATTGTATTGATGGGGTCGGGTACGCGGCATGGTGTTCCTCTCAGTGATGTCGGATTTCTGTTGTGAGATCAAATCGCGGAGACACCCTTGTGTTCGTTTTATGTACTCACAGTTGTGTTTTATTCCTCATATGTCCCCGTGACCGTTGCGAAAGGCTGCAGCATGGACGGCGGCAGCATCGCCTTGCTGCGATCCGCCAGCATATCCGCTTGAGGTCGCTGTCATGTTGCCAATAGCTGGGCGATCAGCTGCTCTTCCCGACCGCTTGTGTTGGTTTGTCCCCTTCCATCATAATTCTTTCCTGAAGCTCGTCGCCACGTTATGTGCACTCTTCTCCGACTCCGGTAAACAACAGCCGTGCGGAATTGATGGTGCGCCATGTAGACATGTCTTGTCTGCGTCGGTGTGCTTGCTTCTGCGCTGTCTTGGCCAAGCCTATCGCTATCCACAGTTGCGGCTAAAGCTGCGAATCGTTTCGCGAATTGCCACGGTCTTGTTTACATTGATTATGCGTATTGCTTTACATGGCTACGCATACGGCGACCTATGAAGCAGGGGTTGAGTACAGCATTGAAGCATCATGTAGGTAAGGGCGGGAGCAGAGTAGGAGCAGGTGTTGCCCGTAGTAAAGCAGAGCAGGAGTCGAGCAGAGTCGAATATAGTAGAAGCGAGCATATATGAATAGCGACCAGAAACCAGTCCAGCTGGGGGACAGTGGGGACAGTCGGTGCAGAACTGGAATATCGCAGGATTGAAGACGAGGCCGCCTAACAGCTCAAAAGGAGTTGGGTAGGAATCGAGAGGAGCAGGAACGGAGCAGGAGTGTTTCATGAATTCATGACATTGGAATTTCATGGAGTAGGCTACGGTATTGTCAATTTCTGCCGCCGCGGCGATGATTCCCATCCACCAAACGAAGTATCCAGCTCTTCGTATCTTATTAAGCCTTCCCGTCATAAATATACTCCTTCGCACAGGCAGTGCGTACGGGCATGCGTCAAGTACTGCATACGATCTACATATATGAAAGAGCGTGTTCTACCGCTGCTGACGGAAAACCGGGGGGGGGTCACTACCGGTTCGAACCCCTCCCCCCCCCCCCCTCCGGAAAACCGGGGGGGGGTCACTGCCGGTTCGAACCCCTCCCCCCCCCCCAGCTCATCATGAAAAGGGGGGGGGTCACTACCGGTTCGAACCCCCCCCCCCCCTCGAAAACCGAGTGGGGGTGCGGACAGTGGTGGGGACGGTGTTGGTGGGGACAGTGGTGAGGGGACAGCGGGACAGTGGTGGGGACAGTGGGGGGACAGTGGGACAGTGGTGGGGACGGTAGTGGTGGGGACAGTGGTGGGGACAATGGTGGGAACAGGGGGGACAGTGGACAGTGGTGGGAACGGTGGTGGTGGGGACAGTGGTGTGGGGACAGTGGGAATGAGGTGGAAACACTGGGACAGTGGACAATGGTGGTGGGGACACTGGTAAAGGCGGTGGCGAGGACGGCGGTGGGACAATGGGACAGAGGTACAGTGGGGACAGTGGTGGGGACAGTGGGGACAATGGTGGAAACAGTGGGACAGCTCAGTGGGACAGCGGAGGAGTCAGTGGGACAGTGGGGACAGTGGGGATAGGCAGTGGTTGGGTCCGTGGAGACAGTGGGGAGAGTGGAACCGTGGTGGGAACAGTTGTGGGAACAGTGGGGACAGTGCGACAGTGGTGGGGGCACTGGTGGGGACAATAGGGACGGTGGTGGAACCAGTGGGGACAGTGGTGGTGAGGACAGTGGTGCTGGGAACAACAGTGGGGGATGTGATGCGAGCGGTGGTAGGGACCGGGAGTCGTTTGCTGGCGGTGCGTGGGGGGGGGGTCGAACCGGTAGTGACCCCCTCCGGTTTTCGAGGGGGGGGGGGGTTCGAACCGGTAGTGACCCCCCCCGGTTTTCCGGATCCAGAGGGGGGGGGGGGAGGGTTCGAACCGGTAGTGACCCCCCCCCGGTTTTCGAGGGGGGGGGGGGGGGGAGGGGTTAGGGGAGGGGGGGTTTTGCCGGGAGGGAGGGGGGGGGGGGGGGGAGGGGTTCTGGCAGGGGGGGGGGGGATTTTCGGAGGGGGGGGGGGGGGGGGGGGGTTCCGGAGGAAAAGGTTGGCAATTTTCCACAGTAAAGCGGCGGTGGATCACGCTCTCTCACATGTATACAGATGCAGGCCCATGCGCGCGACCACACAATCTGATGACCACCATCATCGATAAGTAGTCCCAGGGGGTTGACGTGGAAGTCCTAGGTCACATGGTCACATTCACTTGCAAAGCCGCAGCCAATACTGTTTGAAAGTGGTAGCGCTAAACCAGCTATCTGGGGCGGGGACCCAAGTATGCGCAAATGTAGGTTCATATGCACATGGTGTTTATATACAAATGTATACACACGACTTTCCCCAGACAGTGTTTGCACTGACGGGTTCTTTGTTCTGTCCTAACGTACAGGGCCTTGCTGGCGGTCTGGCGGCTCTATGTTGCCGCCGTCGCCGCCCCGTCGCCGCCTCATCGCCGCCCGTCGTCTGGCCCTGGCTGGCAGTCTGAAGGCTATGTTGCCGCAGTCGCCGCCCAGGCGCCGTCCCGTCGCCGCTTACGCTCTTTCTTTCTGAAAGAGAATTGGGATCTACCCCACCCCGGGGTGAACGGGCCACCTTTTCGCATTGCACTTTACGTATGGTTCTGCCCCACCGTCCATCCTAAATATGAAGCCGCATCATTCCAAACAGGCAGTAGTTGGGTCCTCCCCCTCATCCTTTGCAAAACGTTTCTATGCGCGCGCATTCGCTTGTCCCAAATCCTCGGTTGTTAAGAATGCCTTAGAAAGCATGGGACGAAGGGCGCACGCGCGCGTCGTCGCGCGCGCATGCCGAAATCAAATGCTCATAGGTTTCGCGAGGATTCCCAAATCGAGGGTCAGGGAAACATGTAAACTACACGGTTTCGCAACAAGGATGCTCAACATAAGCTTGCGCCCGCACTCTTGCGAAGTCTCGGGGACGCCATTGGTTTTCACCATTTTCCTAAATTGATACCAACCGGGCCTCTCGCGCGCGCATGTCCAAATCGTTCGAACGCCGTTGCGCGCGCGCTGTCGTAAGGACCCCTCGCGCGCGTTGTTGCTGTCGCGCGCGCGTGCCGACATTGTTCAAAAACCTTGGGAGTCGTTAAACAATCAAGACCGACTGTTCCCGAAAACATGCAAAACAACATGGTTTTGCGACATCCGTTTTCAAGCAAATCCTGCGCCCGCGGCTTTGCGGATTCCCCAGCCAAATAACCATAGGTTTTCCAACATGTTCACCACATTGTGTCAAACGGGCCATTCCGCGCCGCATGTCGAACCCATTCGGATTCCTTTGCGCGCGTGCTGGGGGGGGGTCACGATCCGTGTCAAATAGCTACATGCGGGCCCACTCGCGCGCGCCGGCCGCGAGTGCACTTTCAAAAACCGCCCTCGCCGACGCGAGGACATGGTCATCGTTGTCGGCGGGTGGGGTCAACATCGGTGCCATCATTGGCCTTGCCGTCGTCATCGCCACCATCCTCACCATCATCGCTATTCTCATAATCGTGTCTACCGTTGTCGGCGTCGCCATGGTACCGCGCCGGCCCAAGCCACCGACTCGCGCTGAAGTGCCCGCTGGGAAGTGCGCAGCGGTCAGCGCCACCGCGGCCGCGTCGGTCGCGCCAAACTAGCTGGCCGCTGTGCGCGCGCGTGCGCGGTTTAGCGCGGCCGCAGAGACGCACCAGCCAGCGCCAAGCATTCATCGCTATCACCGCCGCATGGGTTCTGCAAACCAGGTTGCGGGCGAGTGGATGGAATATCTGTAAGGGCATGGCATGTGCCCACTCATTTGCCACATGCACTGCACACTACATATTGCACCGCATGGATTGCGCAACGTACATTGCACAGCATAGATAGCACTGCGTAGGTAGCACAACATCGGTTGCACAACCTATACGGCAACGAATTTATCGCACCATTTATCGCACTCCACATATATTGCACCACGTAGATAGCATAGCAGGGGAATCGCAGCGTCTATTGCACAACCTAGACTGCACCACAGCACAACAAAGGTTTCACCACCGATGTCTCACCACTTCTGTATTGCATCGCATAGGTCGCGCCACGCCGATCGCATCACATATCCAGCTGCCGACGGCAAGTCCCGCCGCCGTGCCTGGGTTGTGGGCGTGATGCCTGTTGGATCTTTGTTGGGGTCTCGCGGGGGGGCCTCTTTTGTGGCCTGTTGGAAGCAGGTTGAAGTATCTTGGGGGCCGTTTTGGGGCCTCTTGGGGCCTCTGTTGGCCCTGTTGGGGGCCTGTTGGGGCCTCTTCGGGATTTGCCTGGGGCATTTGGGGGCCTCTTGGGCGCGTCTTGGGGGACTCCTGGGGGCCTCTTGGAGCGGAAGGCTCGGCTTTTCGGTTCGTGTTCCCTCCCTTGGGCCCTTTTGGGGGCCGTCTTGGGGCCCTCTGGGGCTACCCTGGGCGCCTCTTGGGCCGCCCTGGGGCGATGTTCGGCAGTCTTGTGGCCCTTTTGGGGGCCTCTTGGGTTGTTTTGGGGTGGTTTGGGGGGGCTCTTGGGCCGTTTTGGAGCGTCGGAAAGCCGACGAGGCGAAAACGCCCACATCCTTCAAGCAATAACGAACAATACATGATTCTTCAAGCTTACGCCACATCCGCCGACCCCTTGTTTTTTTTTCTGGGGCGATGCGCGCACGGGGGCGAAAAAGTTTGAATGCTCCGCGTGCCCACCGAACGGGGACGGGAAGAAACCAGCGTTTTCAGACGGGGGCCATTTGTCGAAAGACCAGAAGAAGAATTATTTCAAGCGAAACAACCCAGTTGTGTGCGCGAAGTGTTTTAAAGCGGGACGAGCGCCGCGGAGAGACCCTCCGAAACGCCCGGCGGAACCAAGTGACGAGCATTGCGACAAGGCACGGAAGTTGCGAGGAATCTGACCGCTGGGGACGGGATGGATAAGGGGGACGTGGAGGAGGGAGGATGGGGGAGCAGCCAAAGGCGGAGAAGGTGAAAAGTGAGCCAGTGGAGGGAATACGAGACAGAAAGCTGAGAGGGGAGACGGGAGGAGGGGGCGGAAGAGGAGGATGAGAAGGAGCAGGAGAACACGACGAGGACGACAATGGCGGCGACAGACTCGACGGCGTAGGCTGGGCACCT